GCCTCCCCGGGCAGATCACAAGGCTTCCTTAAAAAGGTACAAATAAGCTCACTTTCAAACCATGTTTTCTTCTTCTTAACTGGTGCATTGCCCTTTCAAATACATTTTCCCTCGTGCCTTTGTTCCTTTCTTGGCGCTCTGATGATGATGCCTTTGGCCCTGTGTTGTGCCAGCCTCCTCCCTATTACATTTGTGGGTTTGATGGAAGGTTTGTTGGCCTTGGCAGATACTTTAGAGTCGGTAAGACCTGCCAGCCCCACCTTTTGTCCCCTGTGCTGGATCATCCTCACGACATACTTGTCTGACTTACAGTAGCTCTGGGGTGGTGGCAGAGAGCACTTATCTAAGATCTAGCTTTTCCAAGTGTGGCCTCCCTCCCAGTGGCCCCAGTCTTATCTGAGAGCATATTAGGCATGCAGAATCCCAGGCCATCTCCAGTCTGACTGAATCAGCTCCTGCATTTCAGCAATATCTGCTGGTGATTTGGCTGTACGTTGAGCTTCAGAAGTTCTGGGCTAAGACATGTGCATTATTTCTCACTACAGTAATTCACAGGCTGGCAGCAAGCGCCTTTGAGGCCCCCCCACTGATGCAAACATGGTCAGTGTAGCCTGCTGGGGTAGAGATCGAATCCAGTTGGAAGGGAGTTTCATTCTGCATACAGCTTAGTTCCCCGACACTTGTTAAAAGGATGCCCCCAGTCGCTTGAGAGAGGAGCCCTGGGGGCATAGTACTGGCAAGTGGGGCTGCATCCTGAAAGATCTGCAGTTCAAAACCACCAGCAGCTCCAAGGGAGAAAGATGAGGCTTTCTGCTCCTGAACAGAGTTACAGTCTTTGAAACCTCACATGGGCGGCTCTAACCTGTGAGTTGGGGCCGCTGTGACTCGGCACCAACTCGATGGCAGTGAGATTCGTTTTTGGAGAGTCACCTGGAACATGAGATAAGGTGATGGGCAGAACCAGGGCCCAGCTGACATTGAGTGCAACTTCAGGCAGTCTCATGTGTGCAGAGTAGAACTGCGCCCCATTGGGTTTTCAAGGCTGCGGCTTGTCAGAAGCAGGTTCTCAGACCTTTCTTCCATGGTGCCTATGGGCGGGTTTGAACCCCCACCTCTTGAGGGAGGACTTAGTGCTGTTGGGTAGTTAACAGAGGCACGATCGCCTGGCCCTCTCCCAGCCCACTCTGAGCTCCTCTGAGCCTGTGTTGGATCTTCCCACTCTACACAAGGCAGGTGCTGTGGGGGGAAGGGCAAGACTTGTTCATTTTTGCGGCTCTGGCCCTCAGCTCGGACCTCGGAGGATGAAGGGCTCTCTAATGTGCATGAATGAATGGGACCGTGAGCCCCACTTCTCGAGGTAGGAAACACAAAAAGAGGCACCCTGAAAGTAGGACAACTCACTCAGGCTAGGTTTGTGCAGCGAGCCTAAGTTAGGCTATGTGTCCTTCTTGGGCATCTATCTGCTGGAGTTCCCTAACTCTGACCTTGCCCTTGTCCACTGAGGCTTGAGATACACAGAAGGCCAGAAGGATTGGGCAGGTGGGAAGGGGAGTGAAGGAAGAACCCAGCCTACTGACTCAGGTGGGGCACCACGTAATGATTTCCACGAGCAGCTGAAGGTTTCAATGCCAATCACCCCAAGCTGCCGGCCTCAGGGAAGGGAATGCAGCATTTCCTGCTCTGAAGAATGTGTTCACATTGCTCGGGCTGCCGTTCGTTCCCTCCTTAGAGAAAACCCCTTCCTTCTAGGGACTTGGTATGCGTGACTGGTACAGGAACTTCATCCTCCTGGATGAGGCAGGAATGATGAATCAAGAGCTCAACCGAAGGAAGCTGCTGATGCAACTTTTCATTTCCTTCTGGTCTTCCTTCCCTCCCACCCAAGGACCCCTCCCTGCTGCCAGCCCAGCAGCACCCTGAGCTTCTTGGAGAGCATTTGAGGGCGTCCAAGCCCGCTGGACTGTTTCCTGTGAGAGCATCTGTTCTTGTGCGCGTGGAGACTCCGAGGAGATGAGATTTCAGTTCTGAAGTTTTTCTCTTGAGATCTCCAGGCTCCAGCCACTGAACCACAGGGCAGGAAAGAAAGGGAGTAGCGATAAAGGAAGAAAGAAAAGAGGCAGAGAACCTGGGAGAGGATCTGGCCAGGTATCTCTGCAGCACTGCTGTGGACCGAGCCCACCCTGAGGGTTGGGGTCCTGGAGAGAAGAAACGCTTGCCAAGGTGGGAGGTTGAGCCCTAATGCCTCAGAAGATGACCCCCCCTCAGCTCTGTGTCGAGGGAGATGGGTCACATCCCTTGGTCCCATTTTGCACCCTTCAGCGCATAGTGAGCATCCGGATGACTTCACTCAAATCCTGTACTCTGGGAGAAAATTCCAGGAGCAAGTCTGACTGAGGTGGAGATGTTAGGATGTCATCCCCAAATTGGGGAATTATCTCTAATTGCTCTTCTTTTGGATGCGAAGGTGTCAACTCTCTGCCCTACTTACCCCTCTCCTGATCACCGAGAGCAGGGCCCAATCAATATTCATGTGCTAGATCATCTAACACCTGTGTTCAGGTGCCCAGAGATTGGACAGGCAATTTCAGTGTGAATCTGGGGCCCTTTAAGAAGGACAAGACTGACAGAGTGCTTGGCTCCACTTGGAGGCTCTGGGAGGGGGTGGAGCTGGCTTGAATTAGCTGGTTCTAGTTTGCAGTAATGGCCCTCTCTGGAAGACAGCTCCACTAAGCATTGGCTCTTTTTTGATCTGAGAGGAAAGTGACTGTTTTATTCACTTGACTTTGACACTTTTGTAGGACAGGAAAGGGATACATACCTGGTAACTTTTCCTTAGGTATAAACCAAAGTCACATGGAGGACAGTTAGACACCACTCTGCCTTGCATGGAATGCCCTACACTTTTGCCTCTTTTTCTGCCCAGATACAGCTTAAGATTGAGAACATTCAGAGACAGAGGCTCCACATCCAAGCTTCAAGAGTTACTTTAAGAGTTCTTTCTAACTCTACGGTGATGTGTGAGCTGATGAAGTCTCAAGCCTTTGAAGTCACACACAGCTGGTAATGAAACAAAGAGTTAGAGGTGGGCTGCACTAAAAAGAATTTGAACAGCACGAAAGCAAGTGGATTTAAGTTAGTCACCAGCCTCTCTTGCAAGGCGACATTGGATAGGGGAGTCTGCACTCCCCGTGTGAAAGACAAAATCTTTGTTACAGCTTTTTGTTCCTCGGCTCTTCTAGGCCTGCCACTCCGTTCTTTTTTCAGGGACTGCCTTATATGGTCTTCTCCAAAGCTCATGTTATGAATGAAGAAAACGGGCTAGAGATGAAGACCTGCTAGCAATGTCAGCACAGCGCCACTCCTGAGAAATGTCCATCGTTCTGAGGCAGGCTAGCCATTGCAATGCCATTTTGATGACTGCTGGATGACCTGCCTCCTTCCCCCTTCCCCCTCCCACTTCGAAAGCCCTGCTAGTGATTGATTTCAGAATGTACTCACTTGCACCCGGAATAAAGACATTGTTATTCTTTAATATTGTTCCTTTTGATGTCATAACCAGGATATTATAATTAATCTTACTATTCTTATTTTGTTAACCAGGATGTTATAATCAATCCTGCCATTGCGGTTTAATAGCTATACCCTGCAATGCTCGCTTGCTTTAAAGAATGCTAACATTAACGTTGCTAATTTTTGCTTGTCACCTCCGCATGTTTCATAGAAAAGGCCCTGATAAATGAGCCAAATAATTTTGTGTTTTTGGTCTTTATAAACTCACTGATAATTCACTCGGGGCAGCAGCCTAACTTTCTCACAGCCCAGCTATGGCTGAATAAAGACTCTTCTCAACTGTCAAGACATTATAGTGGCTGTCGTTTATTTGAACCTGCAAGAATTCTACGTCAGATCTTTTCCAGCTCTATAAAATACGAATGCAGACAACTCCTCTTTGCCAAAATCCATCCTCACGTGGAACAAAGAGTTCTGGAACAGCCTGCACCAAGGGGCTGAAAGCAAATGAGAGGAGTAAGGTAGCCACAGCCAAGCTGCACACTGCTGCACCCCGCCCCATCCCCCCACCTCCACCCAGTGCCCCAGCCTGAGACTGGTGCTTCCTACTGTGCTCACAACAGCCTCCCACACACCAGGCTGTAAGGCTGGAGTGCACGGGAGGGAGGGGGGGCGCGAAGCTACTCTCTGAAAGAAAGGTTTACGTAGCTGGTTGTGGTGAGTGATCCCACACCCCCCCACCTGCACCTGGAGATCCGAGGACTCTCAGAAGAGGGGTCCCGTGTCCTTCCTGAACCCAACGCTCAGAGAGCACCATCCAGGATAACTGTTTGTAAAAATCTGTTTAATAAATATACATCTTAGAAGTACCAAAATAATTACCAACGAAATACACTATGTACACCATTTACAGGAGGGTAAACACCAACCTTTACAAGTAGTAGCTCAAGGTTTTAACCCCACATCACCGAAAGTTGAACACACACACCGGACTGCCAAATGCCACAGAGGTCAACTGGGATCAGCCACTCAACCCATGGTGACCCAGCCGAAAAGTACAATAAATAAAATACGGTCCTTTGATCAAAGTTTGGGTAACTCGCTCCAAAATAACTGCCACAAAGGTGAGGGCTTCAAAAAGAGGCATCCCTTGTCTCCCAATCAACTTTCTTGCTCCTGCCCCGTCCCGCCGGAGTTCACACGAAGAACAAAACGAGGGTGGCCCACCAAAGGGACACGCTTGGGGCCAGGCAGTACACAGTGGGGTGATCGGCGTACCCTCTCCATTTTTTTTCCCTTTTCTCTTTTTTAGAAAAATAAAACTCTCTTTTTGTACAAATATACAAGTCCACGTTTCTCTAGACACTTTCCGTTCATAATGCCAGGCGCTGGCCTCCAAGGACACAGTCATCATAGGGCAGCTGAAAACGAGAAGGAAAAAAGGCATGTCAGGTTTCCTCAGATTTACCAAGGAGGGTGGTAAGACAGGAGGGGGAGGAAATCCTCGTGGAGCCTGGGATGCCACCCCCACACCCCCCCAGCCCAAATATAAGTGAACTTCTGAGAGCGGTCCTCCAGGACGCTTTTCCTATTAAAAAGTTAAGCTGCACTAAACAGCAGGAGCCCTGGTGGGATAGTATGTATGAGCTGGGCTGCATACTACAAGGTCAGCAGTTTGAAACCCCAACCCGGTCAGAGGGAGAAAGACTTAGCTTTCTGCTTCTGTCATGGGTTGCAGTCCTGGAAACCCACGGAGGCAGCTCTACCCTGGCCTATTGGGTTGCTCTGAGCGGGCATTGCCTTGATGGCAGAGAAGGTACACTACACAACTTCTCCTGAGGTGCTGGTGCTGCCTGCCCAAGTCTGCAAGCTGCATTATGCGGACCCCCTTCACTCGTGGGGCCCGGAGGGCAGAGTAAGAATGGCTCCGCTCATTGTTTGCCTAGCCCCGGAGGTGGACACAGCTCAGCAGAATGGAGATTCACCTCGTCCTCTGTGAACTCCGATTCCGTGTCATAGCTCTCCTCGTCTTCGCTCTCTGGCAGCCTCTGCAGGTTTTCTGGGGTCAACTGGCCCAGTTGTTGCTGTATCCGGGTACTTGGGCGGCCCCAGGTGAGCTGGTACGGAGAGTAGCCCTGGTAGGTAACCCTATTCACGTCCGCCCCACACTTCAACAGGAGCGATACCAGGTCAGGATTCTGCAGGTCCACCGCAAGGTGGAGGGCGGTCCGGCCATTACAGGGCTCCTGAAACCAAAAGGAATTTAGAGATGTTTGTGGTTAAGCTTGGCAGTTTTGCTTAGTGCTCTTTAGGAGTGGAGTGCTGGCGCCGGGCTCCCTCCATCTGGAGGCTTGATGCACTCACCTGGGCATTGACGTCAGCACCCAAAGACACCAAAAGCTCCACGATGCCCAGATAGCCATGGATAGAGGCCAAGTGCAGACACGTGTGACCTACCAGAACACATAGAACACAGAATAACCAAGTGTTTCCACCTGACACCCAGCTTGCGTAGAACCTCTGACCTATTCTCTAGACTGAGGGACAAGTAAGCTTGTCTTCCGAATCTAGGTTCTAAATGAAATTTGTTTAAAAAGGCATCCGTCAGGTAATTTTGTGGATGTATCTTCTGAGCCTTTCCCATGTTGGGAGCTGAAGCTCTTGTCTGGATGTCTGAAACGGGCTATCTATTGTTGGTGGCCCCGCTCCCCTCCTCCAGGTTGCCCACCCACCCACCTGCCCACTGCTGGGCAGGGCTGGCAGACTTACCGTTGTAGTTGGCGGCCTTCAGGATCGAGTGGAGGTGTTGGGTCTGGCAGGTCTGTGTCAGGACTCCCACGCTGGCCAGGCTGCCCTGCTCACAGGCGAGGTGTAGGGGGGTATTTCCTCGAAAGTCCCGGAGCTCAGGATCGCAGCCAGCTCCCAGAAGAACCCGAGCGATTTCTGGCTGGTTGGTGATCACAGCCAAGTGGAGTGGCGTCTACAGACAGAAGAGGGGCAGAGAGAGGATAAGCAGGGGCCCAACGTGCAATCTGGGGTCCCTCGGGCCCCAGGCAGCTCCTGGTTTGGCTTCTGCTCCTCCCAGACCCACACACGGAGTGAGGCACACAGCAGAGGCCCCGGTGGGCTCTAAAGGCTTGGCCAAATCAATGGGATTTTCTTTACTCAGTTGGAGGTTTATCGATTTGCATGTAAAAGGCCAGGGCAGCTAATGACCAGTCACTTCATTTAGAAAGGTTTGGGGACCATGGTGCTCGAGACCCTCCCCCCTCCCCCTGCACTAATCCAGCTGCACCACGGGGTCAGAAAGGGCACTGGGCTAGCCGGCGAGTGGCGCACCTGCTGCAGGTTGTTCTGGAAGTTGAGGAAAGCCAAGTCTCCCTTCACTTGGCGGATCACTTCCATGGTCAGTGCCTTCTCTTCATGGATGATGGCCAAGTGCAGGAACCTGACAGAGGGGGGAAAAACCCCAGGGGCGGTGAGTGCACTGCGTGGGGCCAGGGAGGCGCGGGCTGCGGGGGATTGCGCAAGGCCGGGGTTTCTGGAGGCCAAGGCCCCGGTGTTTTCCGCGAGGTTATTATGAGCTGAGTGTTCCTGGCAGGCGCCCAGGGACTTTCCGGGCCCCCTC